CTTTGTGTCGTGGGCTCGGCCGCTCATGGCAGACGGGCCGGAGGATTAGGGAGAAATTCGACGCATCATCTCACAGATGAGCGAAAATCAAAGCCCGGCCACCGCCGTGAAAAGCCTGAATTGGCACGCAGGAGGCGATGTTAGAAATTGGCTGGCGCGGCCAGGGCCGTCGTTCTGCTGCGTGCGGATTCTGCCGGACCGGCTGCTGCCAAAGAGGTCAGGGCTTCTAATTTACCCGGTCAATGGACATATAGGGTGACCCCAGAACATGAAAGCAATAACAATTTTTAACACAGATCATCTGCTTGAGACCAACAAAACTGGGTGTGGGGGGGGGATACATCTACTCATTAGGTATGTTATTACTTTGCAGTGCTGGTACCTTGCTAGCTTCCTCACCCTGATGCTGGTGCCTTGCTGCCTCACCCTGATGCTGGTGCCTTGCTGCCTCACCCTGATGCTGGTGTCTTGCTGCCTCACCCTGATGCTGGTGCCTTGCTGCCTCTCCCTGATGCTGGTGCCTTGCTGCCTCACCCTGATGCTGGTGCCTTGCTGCCTCACCCTGATGCTGGTGCCTTGCTGCCTCTCCCTGATGCTGATGCCTTGCTGCCTCGCCTTGATGCTGGTGCCTTGCTGCCTCTCCCTGATGCTGGTGCCTTGCTGCCTCAACCTGATGCTGGCGCCTTGCTGCCTCTCCCTGATGCTGGCGCCTTGGTGCCTCTCCCTGATGCTGGTGCCTTACTGCCTCACCCTGATGCTGGTGCCTTGCTGCCTCACCCTGATGCTGGTGCCTTGCTGCACTGTGCTGGTGCCTTGCTGCACTATGCTGGTGTCTTGCAGGTGTTCCAGAAAGGATCTAAATGATTAAAAATGATCGATTCTCTGCAGTTTCTAATAGCATGAAACACCCACAATGCTTCTGGTGCCCAGACCATGTGATCTTTGCCCTGGGTTTTGTAAGCTTGTGAGCATGCAAGTTTCTACTCAAGGCAAGAGAGGTTTGTACATGGCTGCTACTCCTTAATAGCGATGCTGCTCCTCTCTCAGGGCCCGTTCACACCATCCGCGTTTGGGCTGTGCTGGTCATTTTTTCAAGTGCAGCCCGAACGCAAGACAAGGTAGTCTGCCTCATCACGGGTGGTCACAGTTCACACCACTGTGTTTCGGTGATGGGCACCATGCAGGGAGACGCAATGAATGCATGCAGCCGGGAGCGTGCACGTCAAACAGACACCGTGGGGACGGAGGAGTCCTCGCTGGATCAGAGACCGGCACCAACGCTGGAGGGACTCCTGAAAACTACAGGAAAGAAGAAGATAGGGGGGAGGGGGGGTTGTGACTTTAATTTCACTTAAATGAAATGTCACTTGTGGGACTCTGATATTTAAGGGGGGGCTCTGATATGAAAGGTAAACCCCCCACCTTTTTTGTTTGTATTTTTGGTGTAGGGTTCCCCCTTAAAATCCGTACCAGACCCCCGTCTCAGAAAAGGATCTGGTATCGGCCTCCTGGGCTGGTACTGCCTTGAAAAAGTTTTTTGGGTGAACCGTTTGGCAAACCAGACGGCCCTTTACTGTAGGTGACCAGACTTCATGGCTGGGTGTAACCGCCGCACTCCCAATACCCCATCGGGACTCGACTCTCCTTTCAGAAACCGTACTACAGTAAGTCATAACGTGTCATTTATATTGACGCTGCCGCTTAAAGAATGTCATTCGTCTCCTTACATAATCTCATTAACCTTCCCCGCTTCTGCAATCACAAGGGCAACACTAGAAATATTGCCACAAGCGCGGCTCCGGCCAGAACAATTCAACCCCCGGAGAAAACACAAACAATGGTTAACCCTTTCAGCTCTCATACCTGTACACCAATCATAGACCAGGGCAAATTTTACAATTCCCCACTGGGTGAGTTTGGCAATAACTTTGTTATCACCTAAGATAAACAGTCTGAAAACTGTGGGGGGGTTCTATTTTGACCTGCGGCTTTTGTTTTTTGTTTTAAAGTAGCTTTACTAATATTAAAAAGAGTATGCATTTTATTTCATAATTTGTCCTGTTAAAAATGGCACTAAAAAAAACAACAAAAGTAACTTGCAAATGTGCATTTTTATTGAACACTAAAAAAAAAAAAAAAAAAAAAGGAAGAAAAAAAAAAAATGCTCCGTGCTGCGTGCAGGGCCGTATCGGGCCGCTCCCGGGAAGGACTGGTGCTGCGTGTGATTAGTACGCAGCCCCCGTCCTTCTCTATGGGAGTATGCGGCCGTACGTCGCCCTACGCTCACCTCAAGTGCAGATCCGTACGGGTGCGCATTTTCTGGCTCGGACGCAGACAGTATCCATCCTGTCAGCGTACAAGTACGGACACCCGCACGGACGTGCAGGGTGGGTGAGCATAGAGGACGGGTGCTGCGCACTAATCACACGCGGCACCTGTCCTTCCCGGGAGCTGAGCGATACGGCCCTGCACGCAGCATGGAGCTGTGCGTGCCGGCCTTTTCTCGTGTGAATGAGGCCTTGGGATTAAACAGGTACAAAATGTAGGGGATTTTTTTTTTTTTTTACACTAGTAAGGTTCTAACTAAGGATGCACCGAAATTTCGGCCATCAAAACATTTTGGGCGTAAATGCGGCTGAAAATTCAGTGTATCCCTATGTTCTCTTCTCCCCACTGGGCGCCGGTCTGTGTACCTTCTGATGCAGCGCCGGCGCCCAGCTGGGGGGAAAGAAGATTTCAGGGAACAGAGCGGTGAACGTTGCAGGAGACCGAGCTCTCCTCTCGGCCTCCTGTGTCAGGATGAAGAGCGGTGTGGGGCGGGGACCTGTCCCTTGCAGTATCTCTTCTCTGCCCCAAGATGGCCTCAGTCTACCAAGTAAAATAACTACAATCGTCTTTCAACCTGGGAGAACTGAGGACATACTGTGAGTGCAGGGGGACATGAATCTGACCGCTTAGGGGACATCAGGGAAGATCAACCACCGGAGAAGAGGAGAAGAGAAAGACTCTGGGTCTGGAAACATACGGCTGGAGAGAGGGGGGAGCCTGTAGTCCATATTAGATTCAAAGAGAACCTGTTTGGATTAATCAAGAATCAATCTTGGCTTAAAGAGCTGCCATCTGGATCCTTGCAGGAGTACCTATTGAACCACTGACCTGGTACAAGCAGGGGCATCACAAAGGTCCCGCCTGCTCTGGATCAGGAACTGAACCTGAAGGAAGGATTGGTATGCGTGTTGTTGGACAATTATTTTCCTCTGGATACTATGAGGTATGTAACTGTTGCTTCAGCTCATCTCTCGAGTCAGGACTTACAATGCAGCCAATGCGTGCAGTTTTGGTCCAAGCGAGACATGTGTCCAGCTAAGGCAAACCTTAGACCAGACCTTAGACAGCACCAAGCTGTCCAGCAATACACTGGTGACATGTCCTTACAATCCAACCTCAACAGCTTTATTGGTCCAGACAAACAGGAAACTCACCTGGGACCTACTGGCTGACGCATTCCACCAAGACACTGGGCTTAGTTATAGAGTGGAGGAGGAGGAGGAAAGGAGGGGCTTAAATATGACATAAGACGTACAAATGGCAATATTAAAAGAGACAGCGCACATACAATGTGTCTGAAAATTCTCCAAATACATATGCCCACCCGGCCTTAGCCATATGACAAGCCGGCTGCCTCCCCATGATGCAGTAACTTGGCCCCGAGTGGCCAAATGCCTGGCCCCAGTGCAGGGTGACAATATTAGGTGGGAATCGGAGAGGAGGTAAAAGCGAGTATAAGCATCAAAGGATGCCTGGGACATATCAAGACACGTCAACTAGGCCTGAGACACAAAGTCCACTCAGTGTATGTATAGCAGGGAAAGTGCAAATTCCATCATGCATGTGCCTCTGGGAGTCATGTCTATGGCTGTCAAAGTCTTGCAATGCCTAATGCAGCTTCCTGTAATAAAGATCAATCACTGCTGCTCTCTCTTCTTGTGCAGGGTGACTGGTCTGGTCTCCGCCCCTCCTGTAATAAAGACCGCTCACTGCTCCTCTCTCTCCTTGTGCAGGGTGACTGGTCTGGTCTCCGCCCCTCCTGTAATAAAGACCGCTCACTGCTCCTCTCTCTCCTTGTGCAGGGTGACTGGTCTGGTCTCCGCCCCTCCTGTAATAAAGACCGCTCACTGCTCCTCTCTCTCCTTGTGCAGGGTGACTGGTCTGGTCTCCGCCCCTCCTGTAATAAAGACCGCTCACTGCTCCTCTCTCTCCTTGTGCAGGGTGACTGGTCTGGTCTCCGCCCCTCCTGTAATAAAGACCGCTCACTGCTCCTCTCTCTCCTTGTGCAGGGTGACTGGTCTGGTCTCCGCCCTCTCCTCTAATAAAGACCAGTCACTGATGCTCTTTTGTCTCCGCCCCCTCCTTTTGTTTTCTGCAGGCAGCCTATAGTGGGTGGTGCCTGCTGGGTCCCTGCCACAGCTCTGCTCTCTGCGCAGGCAATGTACAGCACAGCGATGATGCCATCACTACCTTTAGACAGTAATATTTGGGTTTTTCAGTGCAGACAAAGTCAATTTATATGCTTTGTGGAGGAATATCATAAATGAAGCCCTGAACCCCAGCTCTGGCAGGTTGACAGGAAACAGTCACGTTTTGGAATACCTAAATAATATTTGGTGGAGAAGATGTGAAGAAGACGGAGAGGGGGATATAAGGTCAGGGGTCACTCATGCCAAACAGCAGCCCAGTAGGGGAATATAAGGTCAGGGGTCAGTCTTGCCAGAGAGCAGCCCAGTAAAAGCCCCTTATTATAGGGTGATGGTGAATATCGCTGTGGGAGGAGCTTAGAAAAGATGAGACTTTGAAGCAGTAAAAGGAATTTGTTGTTACATTGTATCACGATGGCATTCCGTTACAAGTGATCTTTGTATGTTTCGTTGTTCTGTGAATTCGGTCCAGGAGCATATAAACAAAACGGCTAAAAATATCACAATACACTAAATTCCACGTACCAGTTCAATTCCTTGTGGGAACGGCGTCTCGCTCCAGTCAGTCAGAGGAAACCTTTGAATTATTTTGCCCAATCCTTCGCTAGAGCCTGTGAATAGAAACAAAAAACACACAAAAATGAAGTCATTGTTCTGCAGCTACAAACCGCAATCAGTATTTTTTCTGTTCGGCAATTCAATCATTTTGGCTACTTAGTGTTTCAGATCTTTTCTCTGCTTTACAGCCAAGACTTTCTACCCTACACCAAAGGATGATGAGCTGATCTACAGATATTATTATTACATAGGATTTATATAGCGCCAACAGTTTGTGCAGCGCTTTACAATATAAGGAAGACATTACAATCACAAGACAAGATGGTAAGGAGGACCCTGCCCCTGAGGGCTTACAATCTAAAAGGGAGGGGCCAGTGATACATGAGGAGGGAGCTGTGCGGGGATGAATTATTTGAGAATGTGATGGTGGAGTGGTTAGTTTGAGGTGGGATAGGCTTCCCTGAAGAGATGAGTCTTAGCCCTCATTCACACTAGAAAAGGCCGGCATGTACAGCTCCGTGCTTCATGCATGGTCGTATCGGGCAGCTCCCGGGAAGGATAGGTGCTGCGTGTGTTGTACGCAGCCCCCGTCCTTCTCTATGGGAGTACGCGGCCATATGCCCCCCCTACGCTCACCTCAAGTGCAGGTCCGTGCGGGTGCGTGCTTCCTGGCTCGGACGCAGACCGGATCCATCCTGTCAGTGTACGAGTACGCTCACCCGCACCCGTGCAGGGCGGGTGAGCGTAGGGCGACGTACGGCCGCGTACTCCCATAGAGAAGGACGGTGGCTGCGTACTAATCACACGCAGCACCTGTCCCTCCAGGGAGCTGCCAGTTACGGCCGCACACGCAGCACGGAGCTGTACTTGCCGCCCTTTTCTAGTGTGAATGAGGGCTTAAGGGATCGCCTAAAGGCCGTCAGATATATAGAAGTCTATGCAGAGAGCAGACCATAAACCAGGGCAATTGGGACAAACAAGTCTGAGACGATCCAACAGGTGAATGACACAGATAGGAATATTAAAAGAGAACTATGGTCAAACCTTTTCTTTTAGCTTCAATTCTCTTTTGGGTCACAGGGGTACCTTTACTAATGCCCTCCTGTGTCCCAAAGTCAGAATATAGCGGGCACATAGCCGGCTATATGCTGATAGCGCAAAGCCGCACTGCAGCTGGAAAGGATCCGGACAATATTCTCAGGGTCCACCCTGCTACCTGATTGACAGCTGGCTCTGCCTTTCTAGAGCCAGAGCCCGCCCCCTCCATTGTCTGTCCCTCCAGCGAGTGCTGGAGTAACAGAGAGGGGAGGGGGAGGAAATCCCTGCAGGGAGTGAAGACTGACAGTCACTGCTCTCTGCAGGGAGAAGCTGTGAGCTGAGCGATCACCAGTTAGTGATCGCTCAGTTCTCTATCAATAGAGCCGAAGTGTGACAGCTGCAGTGTTACACGCCGGCCCAAACTATTGGGAAGAGTGCATTTTATTCTCCCAATACTTCTCCTTTAAAGAAAAAGCAACCAAGTACAGGTACAATCCAAAGGAGTACCGGTCACGAAGACAACGATATGGGGACATGCAGCAGTTAAAGGAGAACTATGAGATGAGTGATTTCCACTCACCTCATAGTTCTAAGCCGACCTGTGACAATGAGACTGTCACAGGTCGGCTCAGTAGATCGGGAGGTGAGGGAAAACATACCGGGTTCCCTCACCTCTCGATCCTGTCACGGCTCTCTGCCGTGACAGGGGGAGGGGCTGGATTCCCCCCTCCCCGATCCGCCAGCGCTGACTGGCGGAACGGACGGGGGAGGGGGCGGGTACAGCTGGCTCTGCCTCTAGATAGGCAGAGCCAGCTGTCACTCACGCAGCTGGGCGGATCCCGTCATCTAAGTCGGGATCCGCTTCAGGTGCGGCGTCTCAGTATACCGCGAGCTGTAGCTCGCGGTATACTGAGCTTAGGGTGACGGGAGGACGCTAGTTTGTGTCCTCCCGTTACCC